CAAAGATATTTTTATTTTCCCAAACCTTTTAATATATACTAAAATATATATTAAATATATAATATATATAATATATATATTAGTATATATTTTAACATTTACGCTACAATGTAACATTTTAATTAATGTATTTTTGCTTCCTCAGCTTCTGTTGTTTATACACTGCATATTTTTAGCCTCTGCTTTTAGTTTAAAGTTTAAATTATGATTTTAAAAGGTTTCTAAGTCAAAACTGATTGGAGCCTCCTTAGTTTAAACTCTAATGTGCCCCAACAAGTGGTATCTGGACGCTGAGATTCTCCAGGACCTATTTTGCACCACAGATGAAAATTCCAATATGTCCTGAAACCTGCAGTATATTGCAATCAAATCACAGTAGGCCTGAGGTCTCTGAGAAATGCATTGATGCAATATTGGAAGAGCCCTCTGTTTTATGAGCTCCCCATGCTACTACTGATACCAAAGTTGGTAATGAAATTCCAACTGGACAAACCATCCTTTTAATGATTTCAGGTATAATTTTCAACAGTTTCCTGTCCAGAGAGAGAAACTGGTATCTGTATTTACTGTTGTGAGGAAAATGCTCATTAAAAGCAGTACCAAAGCATTTGGAGATATAAACAGCAAGGCTGCTGTTGTAGGTTCAGGAGTTAGTGTCATTTGACCTTAGTATAGAATATTGGACATGCATTTTTCCACCCAGCTTGCTACTTTTAATTAAATATTAAAATGGAAATATTGCTCCCATTTTATCAAAAATGTTTATTCAATTCATTTACTAATCTTTGTAGACATATTCCACTTTTTTCTCACCTTTTTTTCTGGTAATTATATTGTTGTATAGGCGATCTGTTTCCTTTTTCTGGTGTTGTGAGTTGCTGTAGTATGTTTGTGCTCATCTGAATAATGTTCTTACACAGCTCCTCTTGCAGGAGGCTGGGTTGTTACTTTGGTAATGGGGCACTTGGTTAGTATGGGTTGTTTTCAATAGACATGAGTTTCTAATTTGCCATTATTTCCTCTGCTGATGAGGATATCCAGGAATGGTAGTGTGTTGCTGTTTTCTTCTTCCCCTGTGAATTTTATTCCTTTGAAATTGTTGTTTCATGTGTCTTCTCTAGTTGTTCCTTTTTTATTTTGACGAAGGTATCATAATAAAAAGGACTCAACAGTTCACCCCTGAGCTACAAGTATTTTATTGATAATCCATAATTCATGGCATACATACAAAGCAAAACCTAAGACAAGGGTGCTGTGTTGCCCCATTTGCTGATGTACTGAGATGGTCTCCTGGTTGTCATGGACATCATTAAATTTTGGGTCACCCTACTAAAGCATCTTCAGCATGGATGTCAAAATCCTCCAAGAACTATAGTCCTGGAGTTCTCCAGCACTAGATTAGCTCCATATGTCACAGACCCAATGAATTCTGTACTACAAGTTCATCTAGCCATACTTTGATACACATAGTGCTTGGTTGGATATAAATTTTTTGATGAAAGTAATGGTTGCTTTTGAATGAGCCTATTATTATTCACCATGAAGGGCCACATTGCAGGTGTCCAGTTTTAGGTCAAAGGAGTGTGACAATATTACTCTGGCCTAACAACTTCTGCCATTGTTTGTTTGTTTTTTTAGATGTATATTCTACTTTTTCTCCAGAAACTCAAGATATCTTATATGAGGATTTTCCATAATGTTATGCCCATAACAGCAATCTTATGAGGTAGGTTGGGCAGAGAGTAAATTATTCACCAAATCACTTAGTTAGGCTGAGTGTGGGATTATCTTAACCAGTACATGACATTGGCTCTCAACTGTAGCTTTGACATTGTTTACGGCATTCCGACCACCTGATTGCAACCTGAATATTTCAATTATTTCAGATACGGCTTTTAGGTAGGTAGATAGGCAGGTGCTTTTGTTATTACTGCTCTTTATACACATGTGTGAGGAACATAGACTGTGAAGAAGTATTAAAACAGACTGTTTAGTCTTTAATTCTGCTCCTTTGAGGAGTCACCTTCAACCTACTCTACTTTCTTCATCAGATGTTCTACAGTTACGGTATCTGTATTCCAGTGACTATGAAAGTAAATGGAATGGAGGTTTATGCTGTGTATATATTTGCTGGTGAAAGTAGGCTTTTTCCACCAGAAAATCCCTTTTGAACAAAGTTCAGTGTAGATGTAGAAGTGCAGAACAAATAAGGAAGGACGGTCACAAATGGGACATTCCATTCATCTGAAGAACATTCAGTTAGTATTTCAAAAGCATACAGTACATTTAATCATATGGCACAAGTTTCAGCAACTTAGATTTTTCTTCTCATAATTGCGAATGGAATCTTATTCATATTCTTATCTCACTATATAGAAAAGGAACAGCGCAAATATTGTTCCCATAAAATAGATAGCTTATTGATTCAACATTATAGTGAGAGGCTATTACAGTAAAAGGCAGATAGGATACATTTTTGCCTGTACCCAAAGTATGTAAAGCATTAAAAAAAACAAACGTATTTGGCTGGAAGGTGTTTCTCAACATGATTCATCTTTGAATAATAAAAGACACACTCAGTCTCCAAAGAAAATACTAGGGAATTGTTTGATTTAAATGGAATTACATCGAAGTAAGAAAAGCAAAGTTAAACTGGTGAAACATTTATAACTAATGAACATGTTACCCTTTGAAACATAAATGGTTTCCTTTCCTCAAGGACAGTTCATCACAGAAGTTTACTAAGTGATTATCTCACTCTGCTGCCAAAGACCGTTTTTAGATGGTGGATGCAGGAGTGTAATGCAGACTCGCCGGCCAACCTGAAGGGTTGGCCATTTAGGCAAGCTGCTCTTGAAAACTCCTCAGTTCTGTTTATCTGCAGGCTGGTGTCGCAAGAGTTAAATCAGCATCCCAGCAACCCAGGGAGTGCATCCATCCAGCAATGCTCTGCTGCCCGGCAGCTTCCTTCTTCCTTTTCAGGACTGCACTGGAAATTGCCCAAACAAGCAGAACCAAGCAGACTGCAAAGGTCACACCTGGCGTGTGGCCAGCTTGCTCTCTGGCTCCAAAACTGCACCCCCAATTGCCAGGTTCAGGGCAGCCTATGTTTTCCCTCTTTTGTTTCCTTTTTCTTCCCCCAGCTGTTCCATTCATAGGCCCAAGCTCAGCAATCTGCCCTTCCCAGAAAAAGAGCCCCTTATTAAGCTGAGCTAACTCAAAGGGCCAGCACAGCACGTGCCACTCCTTATCGGCACCATCTCAAGATCCTATTCCATGGTGCTTAGGCAACAAAAAAAGTAAATGGTTTTAACTCCCATTGGCTCCCCTGCAGCAATTCAAACAAAAGTGCAAAGCAACAAAGACATTTTCCACCATGGCAGGTGTTGGTGTCAAATTCTGCCTGAAGCAAACAGGCGCGAGAGAAGAAAGAAAGAAAGAAAGAAAGAAAGAAAGAAAGAAAGAAAGAAAGAAAGAAAGAAAGAAAGAAAGAAAGAAAGAAAGAAAGAAAGAAAGAAAACAGTTTTATAGCAAAGCTTAGACAAGCAGGGCCAGAGAGCTAGCAATAATATTCTTCCTAGTGCTCCTTAGCGAACTGGATATAACAAGAGCTGTTTGTTCTCAGTGCAAACCCAGTGAAAAAGGAAGAGACCAACCCAAATTAAATGAGAGCTATTTCAGCTTCATGCAAGCCACAGAAGGAATCTAGTTAGTAAATGGAGAATGATGCCATGTGAGCAAACTCTTACCTTTCTCAATTACCGTAACGAGATCATTACATATTTTAATCTAAAGGGAAAGAACACAAATACATGTAAATATGGGAATAGTGCACCTGCTGCTCTGATGACAGTCTTATACACACATTATTACAAAGAGTTATTAATGGGAGGAGGACATAAATTGGAAATGAACCTAATGAGCATTAGCACTATTACGGAATAAGATGTAGGTAGTAATACTTCCACAATGCTATTCTCCCCCACCACCCCACAACTGATTTGGAAAACAAAAAAGTGTAACAGAAAAAATTAGAATAGCTATTTTCTTTCCATACCCTATGTACATTATTTGTATGTTCCTATGCTAAATAATATAACATAGATTATATTACACTAAGGAACTCCTCAACTTTCTATACCCTATCAATTTGATAATCTACAACAGTCTTTTTCCAGCACAAAGAAGTAATCTGATTCTAAATGAATAATATTTTACAAGTACAGATCTCATGTAATTATGAAATATATAATTATAAAATATGAAAGTGTATTGGTTGGATGGGACTTTATAGATCATCTTGACCAACTCCTTGCTCAATGTACAAATCCACCAGACAAATGACCATCTAGCCTTGGTTTGAAAAGCTCCAAGTGAGGGGAATCCACCATTGCTCCAGAAAGACTTTTCATTGCTTACTATTGAGAAATTCTTTCTAAAGGAGATATTATAAATAAACATTACTTAGCTTTCCAGTTTTTAAAGTACAAGCATTTGCAAGGTGTGCTAATACATACATACAAAACCTGGTTTATATTCAAAATTATTTAAATGTTTAATTTTTCTCACAATTTAGGTCTTTAAAATATTAACAAAGATTTGGTGAAATGTTTTTTAGGAGAATAACAAAGTCCACTTGATTTAGGATTCTCATGCCTTGGACACTAGAGTTACAAAAATTGTAAAGAAACAAGCATTCCCCAAAGCCATACATTTATTTCTGTTTTGCAGATCATAAAACACTTTATTCCCTAAAATATGGGTACAGTGGGATTTTAGCCGACAAAAATAAGCCACATGTAAAAATAAATCAGTGAGCCAGTTCATAACTATTTTATTCCCAATCATATATAACTATTAGACCTGTTGAGGGCATCTCTGAGACAGAAGACTAAATACAAATTGGGTTCAAGCCTCTAATGGTGGGGGGAGAGGGGGAGGCTCAAAGCATCACAGAATTTTTTTCTAGTGATGCAGGGAGTAGATCCAGAGTGGAACCGAAACTTTTCAGCCTGTTTCTGCTGCTTTCCCCCCCCCCCCCATTTTTAAATTGTGGTATTAAAGCTTGAAAATGGATGAGTAATTCAAAGCCCCAAAATGAAATAAAATTGTGCTGCCAAGAATCAGCTCTTTTGTTGTAGGATTTCAGGGGTTCTTTGAGGGCTGCAAAATGGGGGTTGGATGCACTGGGGCCCGCGGTTGGGGCCAATAACGGGATCTTTTGATAGAAATATGACTTAGCAAGAGGAGGCAGGGACTTTTGTATGTCACATGGGGAATTTCACATGCCAGAGGTTACAATAAAGAATGCAAATGAATTATATATTTATAGAGACAGAAAATATATATCCCAGGATACCTTCAGTATCAGGGATTCAGAAAGACCCTGGAGAAGCCCAGTATAAAATCTGGCCCATGGTTGGACAGGTTAAATCACTTCATCAGAAGTTGATCAGGGAACGTGTTGTCTATTTAAGAACAGAACTTGACAATGTCAATGTCCTCATATTCATTTTCCTTTGCCTTTCTTCTGAAAGAATCCATGAGGTTCTACAGTGTGTTGTCTGTACCCATTATGTATAGATGTTTTTCCTTGATTATAGATCTCAGTAAAGCCCAGAATGCCTCACAGAGGAATTTGTGGTACTTTGGATAACTAAACATATGTTGAACTATGTAGTGTCAAATAGAACATGGCTTTTTATTGTCGCTGACAAAGCAAAAAGAAAAGTTGAGAGTCTTCCTTGATAGTTCAGAATATGGCTGTTGTATTGATACTTATTTGGTGTCCAACTCCTGAATATTTTATTGCTATTCTAAAAGGATTTCTGATTCCTGTGTTCTTTCCTTATTGTAGAGAAATGGACTTCTGACCATTTTAAACAGAATCTGTTTGCCTTAGCACAACCTGGTGGAAGAGAAAAAGTAAACCTACATAGAAATCAGGTAAGGCCAATGAAACGTAGCTTCTGTTTGTTGGGTCTACAGCTGAGAAGGGAGATGGTGACCCTGAAAGAAAGAAAACAAGGCACAGGACCTTCTCCCTTTGCTGTATGGCAGGGGTTCCCAACCTACGAGATGGAATTTCAGGGTGTGCCACAAAGAGTGCAGTTTGTGTCCCTTAGTGATGAGTCACGAGCCAGCTCCAAGTATGCCTTGAGCACTACATCTTCAAACGTGATATTACTTTTATAGGGGGTGCAAACATTAATCAAACATCTCCTAGGGGTGTGGGGCACAGAAAAGGCTGGGAACCACTACTGTATGGTATGGCTTGTGGTATGTCATTAATGTTGGCCCCTAAAATCAAGTAAAGTAGGAAAAATGGTTTGCTACTTTCAGGTTATACGCAGTTGCTGCTTATTTGGACAGTTGTTTAATATAGTTTATTAAACCTTTGAAAGTTGTATCTGGAACTATCATGCAGTTAGAGCAGAAATATTGATATATCCAAATTTATTTCAGTCTCCCCAAAAAACTCAGTGTAATGTTTCTCTTTCTACAATTGTGGACTTGTAAATAAATGTCCAGAACAAATGGGTGCCACCCAATTAAATAAATGAAACTCTCCTTATTTTTTTGTCTTTACAGCATGGTAGAAGTCCATATTTTTGGCAAATATGATAGTTGCATTTGTTATGCCTTCCCTTCCCCTCCATTTTTAAAGGCTTTTTAAACTAAGTTTTATACCAGAAAGTTTAATTCAGAATTAAGTATTACTTTACCACTTGAATTTTGAACATGCCCCATGCCATATAAATAACAACTTTTAGCATGAACTTGCTAGTCAATAATGGTTTTTTAAAATTCAAATGTAGCAGTCTTTTTGTAAAAGCTTTCTTTACATCTGAATATTTACTTTCTTTTATTTTCTTTATATTTCAATATTTTAACCATTACATTTTTATATAATAAAATTTCTGGGAAATTTTAAAAGACTGTCTAATTTATAACACATAGTGATAATGTAACATGTAAATTATCAGAGAATGGGAAATTAATCATAAAAATATTTTCTTTGAACAGCATGATTGGATTTAGGGCATCCTGCTAAGCCTCAGTTTGTCTAACCAAGGCTTATGGAATAAACCACAATTGACTGGATTCACCGAATATGCAAATCTTAAACAAAACAAACCATATAATGATTGTAATATGTTAACCAAGCTAAAATGTCAGCCAATAGACTAGCCTGAACTGATGAAAGAAGCGCATGCTACATTGTTCTTTAGTGATAAAGATGGATTAAATGGCATGTCTAAACTTGCAAATCTGATTTTTCAAGAAGAGACACAGCCCCATTCAGAACAGGCTAAATTCAGTCCTAAAGCTTATCTGGATCACCCAGTTTCAGATGAATATACCACCTCTATATTTTCTGGACTGAGCTTCATTTTACTGACAACAAAGAGTCCATCACTGAACCAGATATCAGGTTAGTTTTTCTCATAATGTTGTCTAAATTATATGAAAACAAGAAACATGCAGATGACAGCTCACTACAAATCCTCAGATAATTTTAATGATTTGTTAATGTTTTCTTTAGCATTTAAAATTCTTTAAAATTTGTGGCAACATTCTTAAATCTGTACAGTGATGTTATTCATATAGTACTCTATCTGCTGCATTTCAAAATTCACATTTGAAGTATACACATGTCAAAAATCCAACCCACTTCTTGGAAATGTTGAGGTGACAGAGTTGCATGACTTTTTTATTGTGGAACTGCGTTCCTGAAGAAGTTAGCCTGGCCCTAATTTTGTTTAGCATGAAGTAGGTCATTAAAATTGGTTTGTTCTTTTCAGCTTTTGAAGCATTCTAGAAAAGTTGAATTTTACACTTTAATGTCTTTTTAAAAAAGTTTTTTCTATTGTTCTTAATTTCTTTTAAAATTGTCTATCACACTGAAACATCTGTCAATCTACTTAAAAATAAGCATGTAAACTAAGCAAAATACATACTCTCTACCCCACTCACATAAAGGATACTTTCCAAATCTGGGGAAGAGATTTAATATATATACTTTTATTGTTACATTTATAGACCAATCATTACATTACATTATACAACAATGTAAAAACAGAAAAAAAATGATCGGCCAGGCCAAATAAAATTATATACAAGCCACCTCAATTATTTCTATCCTACTTTTGAGGTGTCTTTTCCAGCTGTTGTGGTTGTGCAGAACCTGACCACATCTCTAGAGAACTCTGGATTCTGATCTGTTAGCAAATAATCCAGAGGAGGTAGCTTCGCCCTATATTATTTCTTATGATATGGGTAATTATATATAGACTCCAGAAGTCTAATGAAGTACACAATCACATTCCCCATACTTCCTATTTTTCTGGGCTCAGCATTTTCAATCTTTTGGGTTATTAGCAAATCTACCCTCAAAGAGCACAGATGGCAGAACATTACAGTGTGTCAAAATGATTACTCCTTTGCCCATGGACATGATGCTACAAACATGATGTTATAAAGATATCAAGGCAGGACTGAGCTATCCTTAACTCTCACAGGAATGAAGTAGCAGGAGACCTGGCTTTTGTAATTCAATAACCCTGATATGTTGATTGAAGAACCATTTGGCACGATCAAATCCCATCAACAACAGTACAGAAGAAGTAAGGCTGCAATAGTTTAAAACATAATGTAATTACTTCCCCCATGAGGACTGAAAACTATTTTGGAGGATTGAGCAAAACTTTATGGCAACAGCTGATACAATAAATCCGAGCTTGACTTTTAACTAATATCATACCTGACTCTACAAATAACATCGTATT